TTAAGCTTTTCTCACTACATATTGTCAATGATTCATCAGTCGCATTTTGGCAAATAATACATTTTTTGAAGTTTGCTTGACAGCGAGCAAGGTGCATGAGAGGCTCCATATTCTTTAAATTCGAGGTGTTCCGTGACAATGACAACAAAAAACAGTATGAACACGCGTACTGCAGAATCCGTTCTCAAGTTTTAAATGCCGCGAAGATTGTTAAAAGAGTTCGTGCCGTCCGAAACGAATTATTTACATTTTCAGTGTGCACAGAGAGGTTAGGCCATGACACATCACGTATATTCACATACAAAAACTTACGTACCGTATCGAAGACGTTCACTGTGTTGCTCGCTTCTTGATAACAGGGAACGTCCAGACGCACATATTAGTTTGCCTAATTTCACTTCTTAAACATCACATGTCACAAATATCGCACTCACTGGCGACAAACGAACCCTAGCTGGCTAGCGCAGACGACAGGGGGAATACACGGAGGCCCAAGCTTCTAGCTTTCGCCGCCAGACAGCAGCACAAAAACAAGTAAACAGCGGAAGGGAATACCTTGCAACCAAGGCTTCCACCTCTCGCCGCTAGACGGCAGCACTAATACACAAGCAGGAGCTACAGAGATCTCAAAAGAACTCATAGATGGGAGTGTGTTTTCCATAACTAGTTTCAAATTCTTCACAAAACGAAATTAAAAATTTTGCATTAAATTGATTGAATTTCTGTAATAATCCTGCAAAATGTGTTTTTAAAATGAAATAAGTGTTCCTATTGCTTTCCCGACCTTAAATTCGTGATCAGCGGCCTCAAAAGTACCCGAGGTGATACCCAGCACGTCATGCTACAGTAACTTTTAAATGTTGGGTGTTTAGGCCCCAGTCGGCCGCCATCTTGGATTGCGGTGTTTCCGGTGTCCAAATCGATTTCTGGTGCTAAGTTTTGAACTGGCTGATGTCGAAAACATATGTGCCGATGCGCTGCACTCGACAATACCGCAACTCCAGGAAGTTCTGTATTTAGGCCCCTGATGGCCGCCATCTTGAATTATGGTACTTCCGGTACCCGAATCGACTTCCGGTGCCCATATTCGTGTTCAGCGACCCCAAAAACATAGGAACCGACATATCGCCTGTCCATATCGATGCACTGTAAGAAAAATGTCATTTAGGCCCTTAGTTTGGCCGCCATCTTGGATTTTGGGCCTTTGGAGGCAAAATTCGGCTTGACAACATTCGGATTTAGATTCAGCGGGGTCCAAATACCCTAGAACCGCTACGTTGACAAATGTCGCACGAAATGCCGCTCGGTGGAGTACTTAGCGTACACACGCTTGGCGTTTTCAAACCACTCCCTTACTGAACTTTTATCAAAATTGGGCAGGGTCGGTTGCAGAGACAATGGTAATGCAGCCATTTTCTCCCGGTACTTTCTTTTTTTTCCCTCTTTCTCTTTTCGTAAACTTTTTTTCTTCTGCTACCTTCCTTAGTTTCTCTCGCCTATCTAATTCTCTTTCTTACTCTTTAACTTCCCCGAGTGCACACGACACTTTAAACAATAAATCCCCAACCTTTTTGTAAGTATCTTCCTCACCAACTGGTTCTCTAGCGTCTATTAGAAGTTTAGTAACAAATGATTTAAGTGTAACTATAGGGAATTTGCAAAAATGTGGCTTGTATCCCATGAGCTCGTCCCTCGTGCTTAGTACTCGAACGCAAGGGAGTGGACAATTTCTGTTATAGTAAGTAATGTATATAGTATTGTTATTTCTTTTACGAAGAACTTTCGTTTCATGTACTTCCTGAAATATAGTGATTCATTCACAAAGTTGTCTGGCCAAATCAGTTGCGTCCTCTAGAGTCCAACTATCGTAATTTTCAACAACAAATGCTGGTGTAGCGTTATCATTAGTTAGATCAGGTTGAACCTTCTGGTAATTATTCATTATCCATTCTACAAAGTGAAGAAATGGAGTGAAGGAACGGCCGCATGGAGTTGGCGTACCTACCTTGCACGTTGGTCAATGTAATCCAATCTAAATCATCGTAAGCCTTCTGAATTTTTGCACAATTATTATTTACGGAGATCACTTACACTGACTTTTAACTGGCTTTATATATATTGACATGAAAGTTCACAGGGATGGTTCACAATAACAGATTTAAGACACACATGTGGCACCATGTGCGCACACGCTCACACAAAGAAAACCGTCCGAAATTGGCAAATTCCTGTTAAATTACTGGACAGCAACAATTCGCTCGTCCCCTCAAGTAAACGCGTATCTATTGTGTGCGTTTCAGAAAGTACTCACTCGCTGGGTACGATTTAGAAAGCACGCAACTCTTGTCCACGTGTCAGAAACTACGCAAGTCGATTTTTTTCACTAGTCGAGATTTTTTGTTCTTTTGATAGAGGATTTGATTTTACACGGGATGAGCTATAAATCTCGCCTTGTGAAAAAATCGACTTGCGTAGTTTTTGACACGTGCCTAGGGGAGAGTGGGGCACATTGGACCATGGGGCACATTGGTCCACCATCAAGTTTCACGAGGATAGAGCAATCGCAGTGACCTGACTCACACTATAGAAGAAGCCATTACCACCCTGACTGATTTTCTGAAAGGTATGACAAAGTTCACTGGCAACCATTGGACTGGCGAGGGGTTAAATATTTTTTAACCTCAAAATCAGGTAAAAGTAAAACGTCTTCACTCCACAACTAGCCCATTTAGAGGTACATCACACGAATTTTCGGTTACAAACCAAGTTTTATGGAAAAGCCTACTCTTTTAGCTGCAGATTGCACCCAGTGTCCAATTGGTTAGGGCAATCCAGTTATCTTTTGGAGGCATTTATTAAATTTGCTACCCTTGGGGCAGTTTGAGCCGTCTTGCAAAATGACTTATTTAATTTTTCGAAAACTTGTTTCCACTTGGTATGTTCTTCTTAGAATAACACTAAGACACCCTGATGGTGTTCAGAATAAAGCTAGGGTTGTCTTCGCCATTTTTTTTTACCTTGGCTCAATGTGCCTCATGCATGTCGGCCCAATGTGCCCCGGGCAGGGGCACATTGGTCCACGAGCAGGCCT